CATTTATATGCAAAATTGTTCTGGGTTTTTCTTTTTTTTTTTTTTTTTTTTTTTTTTTTTTTTTTTAAATCTGAATCATTCCATGGAAGTATGTCACATAGATAAATATCATCCATCCTTTGTGTTAATGTGGCATAATGATTAAGAAACAATGCTATGCAGGGTGCCTGGGTGTGTCATGATAGGAAGTGGTCACAAAGAATTTACCCATAATAAGGCAATTCAAAGTTTTGAATTGTTAAGTCGGTGGTTGAGCATCTGACTTCGGTTTAGGTCATCATCTTACGGTTCATGAGTTCAAGCCCTGCGTCATGCTCTGTGCTGACAGCTCAGAGCCTGGAGCCTATTTCATTCAGGTTCTGTGTCTCCCTCTCCCTCTCTGGCTCTCCCCCACTTGTACTCTTTCTCTCTCAAATGTAAACAGTAAGAAAAAAATTTTTTTCTTAAAGAAACAATGCTGTGCTCCCTAATACTCTCATGGTCTTTGGGATAGTTCAGAAATCACTACATGTTGACAGAACTTTATAATTAAAAAATGTTTAATGTTTTTTATTTTGAGAGATAGCATAAGTGGGGGTGGGGCAGAGAGAGAGGGAGAGAGAGAATCCCAAACACCCCCTGAAGAGCCTGGCTTATGTCTTGATCTCACCAAATGTGAGATCATGACCTGAGAAGAAATGAAGAATCTGATGCTTAACTGACTGAGCCACTCAGGCACCCCTATAATTTTAAATTTCTTAGAGACTTAAAATCCAGGCTACTGTTGGAATACCACAAGCATCTACGAACACATTTGGGTTACTAGGTAGCGTCTTCTATTCTCTTCCTCTGCTCTTCAGGCTACTGCGGTAATATTTGTATAGATGCGGTAATGCCTCCTCTTGGTACCAAAGTCAAGTTCATCAGTTCTGTCACAGTAACTATATCCGTGCCAAGAATTCCTTGCACTCTCAATGATTCAACAAGATTTTAGGGAAATGGTCCCTTTAGTTTTTCTTCTTCTATCAGAGCCCTCTTGGATTAGAACCCTGGCATGACTCTCGAAGAACATGTCATTTCCCTCAGACACTAGGCCAGTTTTTTGGAGATAATTCTTCATGAAGTTTGCATTTCTGCACATAAGGTGGATGAAGCATTGACTGCCCCTTGTTCTGGGCTGTCTCTTCAAGATGTTTGTATAGCAAACAGCCTGAGAAGACAGAAATGTATCACCTGGAGCAAAGAACAAACAAGCTTTTACTGTCCATTATAAAAGGTTCAGATTCCCTAGGCTGAAGGTTCCTCTCCTATAATGCAAGCCCCTGCGTGTACAGGGAATTGGGACTCAAAACTAGTGTCCTCCTCCCCCACCTCAAAAGCTGATATTCTGGATAGTGCTATTGCTGTAGTAAACCCTCCTTTCTCTCTAAATCAAGAGTCTTATATCTTGTACCAATATCCATGTGGCAGGCTAACTTTTTGGTTTGCAATCAGGGTAAAATCTCTTACAGAAAAAGATTGCTTACAGTTCTTGATGTTGCCTTAAACCAAATGCATGTGCTTTTTTTTTTTAGTGTTTATTTTTGAGAGAGAGACAAGCAGAGAGAGACAGAGTGTGAGTGGGGAGGGGCAGAGAGAAAGGGAGACACAGAATCTGAGGCAGGCTCCAGGCTCTGAGCTGTCAGCACAGAGCCTGACACCGGGCTTGAACTCACAAACTGAGATCATGACCTGAGTTGGAGTTGGACGCCCAACTGACTGAGCCTCCCAGGAGCCCCCAAATGCATGAGCTTTGAACCTTAAAAGCCTTTTTAGTCCCTCATGTAAATATATCCTCAGGTAAATTGGCTCCACAGTGCTCCAGATAGAACTTCCATGGCTTAATCTTAGAGTGTACAGAGCTCAGGCTCAATATTGGACCCCTACACATCTCTTTAAGTGTGAATTGTTAATAAGTCAGACTCTTCTTTTTATTATGCTCATATCATACCTCTTCCTTGAAATATACTTCTGCTTTATTCTGCCACTTTATATTGCATGTGTTAATGAAGCTTTTTCTGAGTACCCCTGCTGTGTTAGATCTGATCCCATTGCATTCAACAGAACTTGAACTCCTGATTAAGGACTAGGCATTAGCTAATGACCAGTAGCTACTCATGAACACATTCATTACTTGGTCTGCTTATCCCTATATTCTCAAAGCTAATTTCTTTGATTCAAAAAAATTAACATATATAACATATATGAGTTTATTTCCTGGCTTGAAATGGAAACTTATGAAGTTCAGACATAAATATAAAACCAAAACATCTATTTACTAGTAATCCAAAGAACATTCTTATCTTTAGAATTCTGAAGAACATAAGCCTGTAATAGAAGGGGCTTAAGAGTGTATTAATTTCTGGGGCAGTGCCTAAAGCAATTCTCCTGAGGCCCATTGTACCTCCTTCATATTTCCTCCTTACCCTTTCCCTTAGGAACAACTCAGAATCTTTCCTTCTACAAATTACCATTTTCCTCTCCCCCCTTCTTCTTCCAAATATTATTCCCACTTTCTCTAACCCCAGTTATGGGCTGAATTATTTCCCCTCAAAAACTCAGATGTTGAAGTCCTACCTAATCCCCAGCACCACAGAATGTGACTAGGGGATAGAGTCTTTAGAGAGGTGATTGAGTTGAAAATGAAGTCATTATTGTGGACCCTAGTAAAATATGACTGGTGCCCTTAGAGGAAATTTGGACAGACACACAGGGAGAACACCATGTGAACATAAAGACGGCCATCCACAAGCCAAGGAGAGTGGCCTCAGAAGAATCCAACCCTGCCAACACCTTGAATTTGGACTTCTAGCCTCCAGAACTGTAAGAAAATAGATTTCTGGTTTTGTAAGCCACCCAGTCTGTGGTACTTTGTATAGCAGCCCTACCAAACTAACACACACCCCCCTTCCCATCAGCTGTGCATTCAGTCTTGCTGTTTGCACCCTACCCTTCCCTGGGACCTTCTATTTCCTCTGTGTTCACATGTCAATATTCAATTTAGCAGACCCTTTAAATTACAAATTCTTTGAAGGGTACAATGAGTCACTCTTCTTGATGATTCCATTTCCAGCAGATTACCCCATCATGCCACTGCAAGTCCTTAGCATTAGCAGGCAAATCTTAACATGGCTCATGTCTAGCCAGAAAGACTGGTTTTCAATCACTATCTTTAAAAATAAGGAGGATCTTTTCCAGAAGTTTCCAGCAAACCTCTTCTGGAATCGAATTGACAAGTATTGGATTATTTGCCTATTCTTAGCAGGAAGGAATAAATGAATATAGTGGCGTTAGTCCATTTAGAGCCCATCCCTGGAGCTAGGAATTTGACTAGTAGCATCTGTAAGTCTCATAGGCTACAAGGGCAGGGGATAGGTACCTGGACAAAGGATCTGTTAGGAGGAAGAGGAAAATAGATACTCGGTGTCCAACCAACATTGTCCGTTGTACCCAAAATACTGTTCTGGCAAATTGATAATTTAAAAAAATGATGTTTATATAGCACTTACTATTCTAGATTAATTTTATGTGTTATAAATAGCATGTAAGATAGATACCTTTAGTGTTCTTTTTTTTTTTTTAACAATTATACTTATTTAAGTAATCTCTGTACCCAACATGGAACTTGAACTCATGACCCCAAATCGAGAGTAGCATGCACTTCCAATTGACCCAGCCAGGTGCCCCTATTGTTCTTTTTTTTTAATTTCAATTTATGTAAAGTAAAACAAAAAACAAAAGCATTTCTCCCATTTCCCCCACCCTCTCACCTCCGCCTCTGGCAACCACCAATCAGTTCTCTGTGTCTATGATATATATATAACACATATCTAATATATATATTAGATTCCACATATAGGAGAGATTATACAGCATTTGTCTAATTCATTTCATTTAGTATATTGTCCTCAAGGTCCATCCATTCATTTTGTCACAAATGGCAAGATTTCATTCCTTTCCATGTCCAAACAATATTCCATTGTATGCATATGTGTGTGTGTGTGTGTGTGTGTGTGTGTGTGTGTGTGTTGTGTGTATACATATACAGTAAAACCTTGATTTCTGAGCGTAATTCAAAGCACTCCTATATCAATTTCAAGAACCACTGACTTAGTTGTGATCATGTGATATTCTGTGTCACATACTGCTTGTATTGCAAGACATCACTCATTTATCAGTGATTTATAATAAATTATCAAAATTTATTAGAAATATTTGCTCATCTTGAGGAACATTGACAGAACAAGTTATTCATAAGCCAAGGTTTTACTGTAGATATATCACATATTCTTTATTCATCCACTGATTGAAACTTAAGTTGTTTCCATATCTTGGATATTGCAAATGATGCTGCAATAAACATAGGGGTGCATATATCTTTTAAAATTAATGTTTTTGTTTTCTTTGGGTAAATACCTAGAAGTGGAATGCTGGATCATATGGTAGTTTCATTTTTAATTTTTGGAGGAAGCTCCATACTGTTGTCCATGGTAGCTGCACCAATTTTTATTTCTGCCAATAGTGCACGAGGGTTTCCTTTACTACACATTCTTGCCAACACTTGTTATTTCTAGTCTTTTTGATAATAGTCATTCTAACGTGTGTGAAGTGATATCTCACTGTGATTTTGACTTACAGTTCCTTGATGATTACTGATGTTGAACATCTTTCTATGTACCTGTTGGCCATCTGTATGTTTTTGGAAAAAGGTCTTTTCAGATTTTCTGCCCATTTTTTTTAACATTTTTTATTTTATTTTTGAGACAGAGAGAGACAGAGAATGAACGGGGGAGGGTCAGAGAGAGAGGGAGACACAGAATCTGAAACAGGCTCCAGGCTCTGAGCTGTCGGCACAGAGCCCGACGCGGGGCTCGAACTCATGAACTGCGAGATCATGACCTGAGGAGAAGTCAGTTGCTTCGGCGTTCTTAAAACTGAAATGCTCACTCTTAACACATTTTTTTTCCTTACTCATGGGCTAGATTGCAGACATGGTACTGGTGAGCTACCTCAGCCCATGTGGATGAAGACAACTGAGGGGCCCCTGGCTGGCTCAGTCAGAAGAGCATGTGACTTGATCTCAGGGCCGCCAGGTCCAGGCCCACATTGGACCTGGAGCTTACTCAAAGAAGAAAAGACAACTGAAGCAGTTGCTTTTTACTCTGATGTTAAATAGAATCCATATATTGAGGCTAGTAGAGACACATTGTCAACTGGATCCTTGGATAAATTCATGGAGTAGTCTGTCTTCCTATGCCACACTGTAGAAGAGGGAGAAATAAACATATCTTATTTAAAACAATGTATTTCGGGATCTTTGTTATAGCACCTTAGCTTAGACATTAGCTAATATGGCTAACAGTAAATTTGCACTTATGTGTCACTCAGTGTATTTAGCTCCTTATGTGGATTATCCGATTTAATCCTGACGACAGACCTATGATCTAGTCACTATTATTATCCCCATTCTGTGAATAAGGAAATTGAGACACAGAGTGAGTTAAGTAATTTGACCAAGATAAAGCAGCTAGTGAATGGCAGAACTAGGAATTAATCATAGGCAGTTGGCTTTAGAACTGTCTTAAAAAAATGTTCATTTATTGGGCACCTGGGTGACTCAGTCAGTTAAGCATCCAACTTTGGCTCAGGTCATGATCTCGCAGTTTGTGGGTTCAAGCCCTGTGTCAGGCTGTGTGCTGACAGCTCAGAGCCTGGAGCCTGCTTCGGAATCTTGTGCTCCTCTCTCTCTGCTCTTCCCCTGCTCACACTCCGTCTCTCTCTCTCTCAAAAATAAACATTAAAAAAAAAAATTTTTTTTTAATGTTTATTTATTTGTTTTGAGAGAGAGTGAGAGAAAGCACAAGCACCAGCAGAGGAGGGGCCGAGAGAGAAAAGAGAGAAAATCCCAGGGCAGGCTCCATGCTGTCAGTGCATAGCCCCACATGGGGCTCAACCCACGGGACTCAAACTCATGAACTGTGAGATCGTGACCTGAGCCAAAACCAAGAGTCCAACTCTTAACCAACTAGTGACCCAGGCACCCCTAGAAGCTGTCTTCTATCAGTTAATTTAATTATATCCTGTGAGAGAATTTGGGATGCTTGGGGTGGCTGAAAACAGGGAATTCCTGTTCTACCAATCAATAGTTTTCTATTTGTTTCGTTTCATGCCCAGTACCTGCATAGGAAAAATGAATTCCTAGAATTGTTGATTATTTTATTTATATTTTGCATTATAGAATCTTAATTCGGGAGAGACATTTTAGGCTTTCTAGGCATTAGACTTTTATGTATAGTAAAATTTCAAAAATGTCTTTGGAGACTAACTTGGAGTTTTTTGGTTTTTTTTTTTTAATGTTTTATTTATTTTTGAGAGAGAGAAAGAGGGTACGTATAAAAGTGGTGTAGGGGCAGACAGAGAGGGAGACAGAGAATCTGAAAGCAGGCCCAAGGCTCCAAGCTGTCAGCACAGAGCCTGACGTGGGACTCAAATTCACAAACCGTGACATCATGACCTGAACCAAAGTCAGACCCTTAACAGACTGAGCCACCCAGGTGCCCCAGTTTGGAGTTTTTTACTTTTAGTTCGGCCAAGGTAAATACCATGGGAAAAGAAAAACCTGTTGTTCATCACCACTACTCATAAAAGGACATCTTAACACCAAAATAAATAGAAAAGTCATTACAAGAAAAAAAAAAGACATTTAATTTAATTGGATAAAATTGCCGTTATGAAAATGTCATTCACTGCATGTTTTTATTTGGAGGGATGTACCCATGACTGGTGGAAACTTTGACATAGAGAAGTAGTGTTCTGAGAAAGAACAAGTGAATATTTGGTCTCAGTCAACCACCTTCTGCCAGGATTCAGTGCTGGGAGTGTATCTCATCCCACCATGTGGCAGGGAGCCTCGCGCGGCTCCACTGGAAAAGTGTATTTTCTCCAAGTATACTTTAACAAAGGCATCTCTGGGCCATTTGAAAGTCTTTGGGAGCCTACACATCTTACATTTCTTTAATGAGAAGGCAGCACTAGCTGGGGCAAGAGATTGCTTACACCTCTAACCTTTTACAGTTTATGTCCTAAAATTTCTTCAAATACCTATTTTGAGTATAAAATTATGAAATTGTGAGGTAGGGCTCATGAGCAAATGGCTAAGAAAGAATTCTTGAGAAGTTTTTGGTGCAAAAAGGTGGTTTTATTATAGCACGGGCAGGACCGTGGGCAGAAAGAGCTGCACTGGGATTGTGAGGAGTGACTGGTTTTATACTTTTTAATTAGTGACGGTTAGGGATAGTGTAAGTCTCTAAGGAATTTGGAAGCAAGGCTTTCAGGACCTTAAGGGGCTAACTGCTGTTAAGATACAGATACTTATAGTCTCTGAAAAAACAAAAACAGTAATGGCAGTAAGACAGCCATGAGTTCCTTGGGGATGGTCACACTCTGTCCGTTTCAGGTGTCTGTCTGTGGGCTGCAAGCTGTAAGGAGATTTAATTTAAACTACATTTCTCTTGCCTTTGTTATCACAAAATACAAGGTGATTTTATGGTTTTTAAATCTCACAATTGTCCCTATCTTTTGATTCCCATTCATGATCCCTAACAGGAAAACTGATGGATTTAAAATTATTATTTGTGTTGTTCTCTATAGTCACAGTCAGAAAACACTTTGCCTCTCATTCTCCTGTAGAGACAAAAACATTGTTAAAAAAAAATCCCATAGTAGCTGTTGAGATAGATGTGTGCTAACTTGATGAAGTTGTACTGAATATGGAAATGCCCTTTCAAAGGCCAAGGAAGTAGCAAAGAAAATTATCACATTGAAAAAGTAATTTAAAAATGGTAGTGTAGGGGTACCTGGCTGGCTCAGTTAGGAGAGCATGTGACTCTTGATCTTAGGGTCATGAGTTCAGGCCCCATGATGGGTGTAAAGGTACAAAAGGGAAGTAACATTGACAGTAATGATTTGAATTCCACCGACTCTTGCCTGTACTGATTCACAGAAGACATCAGTCCCATTTCAAAACTTAACATTTAGGGGCGCCTGGGTGGCGCAGTCGGTTAAGCGTCCGACTTCAGCCAGGTCACGATCTCGCAGTCCGTGAGTTCGAGCCCCGCGTCGGGCTCTGGGCTGATGGCTCAGAGCCCGGAGCCTGTTTCCGATTCTGTGTCTCTCTCTCTGCCCCTCCCCCGTTCATGCTCTGTCTCTCTCTGTCCCAAAAATAAATAAACGTTGAAAAAAAAAATTAAAAAAAAAAAAAACTTAACATTTATTTCTGGGAAGCCCCAGGGCAAAGTGGTCCCTGCTCTGCCCTCAATTGTGGGCAGCTTTCCTGTGGCCCCGACAGCCCTGCTTCTGCCCCAGCTTTAGGCTTCTACAGCACCTGCCACAGCAGAGCCACCTGCGCTCTGGGGGGATGCAATGTGGGTTTATGCTGAATTACTGAAGCATGTGTGGAAAACATGGTTATATCTATAGTTGCAGTCCCAGTGGTAGGATAACCAACCTATGCTGTTAGTTTTATGTTAAGGCTTATTGTCAAAGAAGCAACACAACTTCTTTGGTTAGTAATGACATTAAACGTGTGAAGATTATATTTGGAATCAAGCACTTGCATTCACTCATTGCTGCAGTAATTGTTCATTGAGCCTTAGCATGTGCGGGGCTAAGCTGGGCACAAGCTGGGGTGAGTGATGAAAACAAACAGCCCCCCTGCTTTTGTAGAGAGTATCAATCAACCAGTTAATTGGAGTCCATGATACCAGCTCATTTCTGCAAATGTAACATCCTGTTTCCATCCAGTTTTCTGAGATTCTGAGCTAAAGAATTGGCTACCTCAACAGCACAAATCATTTGGTTTTATATTTTGTCTTTTATAATGAAAGTAGCTGTAAAAAGAGGAGAGTAAAGATGAAAGGTGCTGCAATCTCTTGCTAGATTTTGGATTGAGTCCCTCACTCTAACTGATGGCATTTATCCTCCATGCAACCCCTTCTGTAAACCTTCTGATACTGTAGGATGCTATAGATTAACTTTCTAGGGCATTTCATGGTATTTGGAAGCCCTCCAGTGGCCAAATACTATAGCTAAAAAACAAAACGAAACAAAACAGAACAAAACCTGCTGTGCTTAAGTGTTTAGGTGTGAAATGTACTCATGTTTGCAACTTATTTTGTAATGTATCAAAAAATAAGATGAATTAATGTATGAATAGAAGGATGCATAGATGGGTAGATATGTGATCAAGCAAAATACCAATGTTAATTGTAGAATCCAGGTGACAGGTATATGGGTCACTGTAGAATTCTTTTCAACTTATCTGGGTTGGAACATCATATAAAGTTGAATAGAAATCTCTTTGCTAAACTCCAAAGACTTACACATTGTAGTTGACATTATTGAATTTAAATTTTTAGACATTTAAACATTTTTTAGTAAAATTGTCTTCATAAATGGATATGGATTAAATTTTCTTAACATGATTAATTTCTAAATGTTTAAAAAGCACTTCTGGGTTTTTAAAAGAAAGTTTATACAATGGGAATATGAAATAGCTATATGATTTTCTTATTTAAAGAAGTGAGATACCACAATGAGATACACACCTCATGCTTGTCAGAATGGCTAAAATTAAAAACACCAGAAACAAATGTTGCTGAGGATGTGGAGAAAAAGGAAGTTTCATGCGCCATTGGTGGAAGAAAATGCAAACTGGAAACTGGAAAACAGTGTGGAAGTTCCTCAGAAAATATTTGTTTAATTACCTAATGGTCCAATTCTGGTAGTTACCCAAAGAATATGAAAACACTAATTCAAAATATATATGCACCCCTGTGTTTATTGCAGCATTATTTACAATAGCCAAACTATGGAAGGAACCCAAGTATCCATCGATACATGAATGGATAAAGGATATGTGGCAGGCAGCTGGGTGGCTCAGTCAGTTAAGTGTCTGAGTTCTGGTCACAATCTCATAGTTTGTGAGTTCAAGCCCTGTGTCAGGCTTCGTATTGTCAGTGCAGAACCTGCTTGGGATTTTCTCTCTCTCCGCCCTCCCCTGCTTGCTCTCTCTTTCTCAAAAATAAGTAAACATTAAAAAAAAAGGGGGGATATATGGAATATATGGAATATATATACAATGAAATATTACTCAGTCATAAAAAATGAAATCTTGCCATTTGCAACAACATGGATATATCTAGAGGATATAATACTAAGTTGAAATAAGTCAGTCAGAGAGAGAAAATTTACCATATGATTTCACTCGTATGTGGAATTTAAGAAACAAAACAAATGAACAAA